CGTCGTCGTCGTCGTCGTCGCCGTCGTCGCCGTCGTCGTCGTCGTCGTCGTCACCGTCGCGTGGTGCTCTCAGTTACGGATTTTAAATGTCATTCTCCCGAACGACAATCGGTCGTGTCCGTATCCGTACTATGGCATAGCCACGAGTATCCAGTCCAGAGCCGTCGAATTCTGGAGATTATTCCTGGGGTTCCTTCATCCTTCCCGAAGACACAGATCCTTTTGATTCAGATTTTTTCGTTTCACCATCTCCCCCATTTGTCGTATTAGACAAATTTTTTGAACGCGTTATGTGTTGATTGGTAAGATAGAGAATTTTTTTCAGACCTTTGAAAATGAAAATTTCACTATCCCAGCTAATCAATATATGTTCAAAAAAGTATCATATGACCATAAAATCTCAACCTCCGAAGGTTACAGGGTTCTTCAGTTTTTTTGTTCTGTTTTTATATTTATTTAAAATCGATTTTTAAGATTTTTATAAAGAAAAATGTTTAATCAGAAATATTTTCTTTTATGAAAATATTAAAAATCATGTTATTTCATTTATTCCTTTATAAATCTTTTCAAATTTTTTCATTAGTTTTAAAGAGTTTTAACGAAATAAACATGGCAAATTTTAAAATAATATTTGAAAAAAATAATCTTAATCTTTTATAATTTTGAAGTTACATATTTTTGAAATCTATATCATTTCCACCATAATTTAGTATTTTAATATTGTATCATTCTTTGGTAATCAAGTAAAGTTTACTTTTTTTATAATAAAAAGGAGTTAGAAGTTTTTTTATAATAAAATATATTCAAAAATTTAAAATTATCAATTTGGAATTTCAAGCTCTCGAAAAAAGATTGAGAGTTATTATGATAATTAAATTGGAACTACACTTTCTTCAAATAAGAAACTTGAAGTAACTAAATTCTATCACGATATTCTGGTAAAAAGTTTAAATTTATTATTTCCACTCATTTGTACAATTCTCGCTTTTTTTATTTCTTTTTGCTTTGTTTACCTTTTTTCCCATTTTTTCGTATCGGAAGAATTTCATTACTTCGGAGGATCGGAGCTCCGCGCATCGATGTTACGCTCCTGCACGGTACATTCCGTGCAAAAATCGAGAACATCACGTACAATCCACGTAAGAATACCATGTAATACTCCGTCGTTCGTGAATCGCGCGCATTACCTTGACCTTGTCGCCACGTTGCGGAGGATGGAAGCCTCTTCTCGAAAAAAATGGATAAATCGCGGGCGTCGATACCGCAAGTTTCGACGATCGGGAGAACATCCCTTCCGCCAGGAACACTCGTTCCGCTTCGCCTCCTTTTCCCTTCTTTCTCATCGAGAACTTCGAATAACTTCGCTTTGTATACGAGCGCGCCCCGAAAAGGATCGCTCGTGCGCGGCGCGTGCGTGGTGCGCATGCGCAACGCGCGCAACGCGGGACAGCCGACTTTCGAGACAAACGAGCGGCGCGCACACGGCGCCGATTGTGTGGTGGACAGACGCGCTCTCTTCAAGAGCGCTCGATCGCGACGGCGGGTAGAGAAAGAAAGAAAAGTAAAAAAAAAGAAAAAACACACCTCGCACAAGGATCTGATCGGTCCTTCGCTTATTTCGGAAGCGTGACACAACGCGACGAAGAAAGTTGCAACCGCGTCGACGAACGCGCGAGCATGGCAGAGCACGTCTGAAGATCGAAACGGAGAAAATTAGAATTTTTGTAAAGCGACCTGAACCGGAACACTCACTGCATCGTCACCCGATGATGATCTCGCGTCAATTGATAATCCAGTGGAAATAAAAAGAACGAGGAGTATTTTTGTGTGAAAAATCGAGTAAAGATAGCGGAAACAAGAGACAAGGTAGGAGAGTTGCTTTCGCGTTTTGTACAATGAAAATTGATTTGATTTATAAAATGTATTTTGCTGTAACCAATGCGTCTGAAAGCAGAGTTGTCTTAAATTTTGAAATAATAAATCCATTTCGCTTGCTTCTCAGCTGATACTCCGCGCAAACGTCAAAATAATTGTTGTCTTTCGTCAGAATGGAAAGTAATTTTAAATGCGTGAAAAGTGGCGGATTAAAAAGAAAGACAAACTTGTTGATTTAAAAAATTAGGAAGAAACAGAAAATTTAAGATTTATTTACATTTTATAAAACTATTTTTTATGGTAGTTTTTAACCTACTCAATTAATTTTAATATTAATTTTTAATCTCAAAGATTCAATTTCAGCGTTTAGAAAGAAATTTTTGTTATAATTTTTTTTTCATTTATTTACTATTTTGCCGACTTTTTACAGAATAATCTGTCGATCCGCGTTTGCCAAAAAACCGATAGGATGATCGGACCATCATCAGGAACCACTGGTGAAGTCACCGAAAGCTGCGCTTCTTCCGAGCGAAAGGTCTTCGACGATCTGGACGTTGATAGTCCAAAGCGAAAGGTCTTCGACGACCTAGACATTGACAGCCCAAAGCGAAAGGTCTTCGATGACCTGGACGTGGACAGTCCAAAGCGAAAGATCTTTGACGATTTGGATGTCAACAGTCCTAAGCGAAAGCTCTTCGACGAACTGGACATTGACAGTTTCTGCGACGAGGTTCGCCAGACGAATCGCAAACGTTACCTCCCGGAATTGGAGACTCCAGTGGAACTGGTAACAATGCCGAATGAGATCATCACCAATGCAGCGGCCCTCTTCTCACCAATGTCCATCCAGGAGACTGTCGAGGAGTCACAGGTGGCGCGTCTGGAAGTATTGCTGGTGGATGGCACCAACTGCACCTGGACGACTGTGTCGGAGTTGGAGCAACAGCAGAGTCTCGACGTCTTCGTAACTTCATCTTCCTCGTCGTCATCCTCCTCTTCCTCTTCATCGATCTCTTCTGGACGTGCTGATCATCTCCCTGCGGAAACCTACACCATTGAGGAGCTCAATTATCAACCAGGAGTGTCGGCGAATTACTGGGAACCAGATCCCCTCGCCAATTTGAACACGCAGCAAAATAGAGGAATGACGAGCAATGATCATCATCAACAGCAGCAGCAGCAGCAGCAGCAACAACAGCAATTCGAGGATCAGGAAAATGGCAATCTGTCGTGGCTGCTGGATTTCAAGTTGGACTCGTTCATCGAAGCCGCGGACGATAGGTCCGCCGTGGGACCCGCCATGACAACAAAGAACAATTATTGTGGTGAGGAAAGTGCAGGAGAAAAAGCCGTTTGATCAACACTTTCGCGAACGTTAGAATTAAGAGAGATACAGAAGATGAAGATGTAATTTGCTTTGGTGTAAACCGAAATCTTTATCTCGTTATTGTAAAACGTATCGATTCTAAGACGAGTCGCGAAAAAAAGGTAATAATTGTCCAATCGCGATTTTTTTCAAAAAATGATGATTTTCAATGATTTCTTAATCTTAATTAATTAATTAAAATAAAAATAATGTCCGCGCGTGCACCGTTAATAGAATTTACGGTTCCGCGGCTAATTGCGCATTTTCAGGCAACAAGAATAAACTGAACGGAAGGTCGCATGGCTCCAATTACGTCAACGACGTCAGGAAAGGACATGGCAATCACGAAAATTCGGTAGTGTATCGACAGGACTCGAATCAGGCGACTTATCCCGCTAACGGAATTGACAGTCGGAATTTTTCGTCTTCGTCTCGATCCAATGGGCCGAAGAAGCCACCCTTCACCTACACAGAATTGATAGAGCACGCGCTGCAGGAGAGAGGCGAACTCACCGTCTCCGCTATTTATCAGTGGATCTCGTAAGTTAATTTGAAAAAATTTATTTACTACAGTTAGTCGCTTGTTTCTCCCTGCCGAAATTATTATCTGTAATCGACGTACTGCAAAATCATGCATCTTATAATCTTTACTTCGTATATTCTTCCGTTAAATATTTTATTAATACATATATTTTTATTAATACATATATTTTTTCTAAAAAAATTCGCTTTTATATATTTTTTACATATTTCTCTAATTATTAATACTAATTATTAAGACAGACAATAATAGATAGACAAAATTGCGATTTAAAATAAAAGTTATCGATTAAAACTAATAAATTGATTTTATGAGAGAAAAATATTTACAAGCCGCAGTCGAAACGCATGTTTCTCTCAATTACGTATCGGATGTGCAAGGAGTTTTCTACGAATTTACGCGGACGTGGCCCGGCCGGTCGAGAGTGGGCCGACGGGGGTGGGTTGCCTCTAGATGGTACCCATTGGTACCACTGCCCTCGTTGCTTGGCACCACCTGGCACTGAACTCCTCACCCTTCGACTATCCTTCACTGCAGCCCTCAACACGAACGCGAACAATTTACTGCTCCTGTGCCTTCACCTGTTCGATCGCCGTTCGAGCTCCTTGGAAAAGGCGTATATAGATCATTCGGGCCACGCAGGGCCGCCCAAACAACAATCGAGTCAAAAGAAATATCTTCGTTAATTCTGCAAAAGGCAGACCTCTATAAATTTACATGATAATATCAGAATCATAAATCTTACCCTTACATTTGCGTTTTATCCAAGATTATCGATCATAACATGGTGCAGATTATAAAAGTTAATTAAATCAAATGTTTCTCGAGCGCACTTAAGGGAAAAAGTGCAGTTTGAAATCACAGATTATGCTAAGAATATTGTTCTTATCACGTTAGTTTTGTAGTATACATTTGTTTGTTGTATACAATAAGAGGGGATGACTTGGAAACAGATTTGTAAAACTGTCGATATAAGTGACAACATTGGTCGCGATCATCGTGATCAGTGGAGCGAGTAAACATACCATTTAGCATTTCAAATGCACCCTTGGCTCGAATGTCTTCTACGCCGAAACTCGTGAAATTAATCGCGAGGGGGGCTGCGTAACGCACCGTGACATCGCTACGAGCAGGTGAAGGAAATTAGTTTCATAGGGACGCAAATTACCGTCATGCCTTTTTACGTGTAATATCCCTAATCGCGTTCCGTTCAACTTGCCTATAAAAAATAATTACAGTAGCTCTTAAATACTGTTACAAACTATATAATTTTCATTTTGCACAAAAATATAAATTTTAAAGAGAGCGTAATAAAAAATACCTTTTCCTCGTTTTTAGCGAGCATTTTCCTTATTACAAAAGCAACGACGATCGCTGGAAGAACTCAGTCCGGCATAATCTCTCGATAAATCCGCACTTTAGAAAAGGATCGAAAGCGCCTCATGGGGCGGGTCATCTCTGGGCAATTGCGAATCGTGGCGACTACACATCTCGTCCTTTCGCTGTTAACGGCTTAACGACTACTACACCGACGCGACAAACAGCGCAAAATGACAATGAAGAATCTCGAAATAACGAAATCATTAGGTAAAAATAACAATGTAATAAATACTCAAGACAGAGCATTTTGTAACTCGACATTACAGTGAAATCATAGACGAGGTGGAGGCTGCGACGGCGAGCATTGCGCAGCCGAATTCCGAGGAAGATACCGACATTATACTGAATTCTGTAACACTCGAGCATTCCGCTGAGCAAATACTCAACGGCATAAAACGTGATGTAGAGGTGCAATACTTAGTACCTATGATGATGACCAACAACGATTCCGAAGCGAGCCAACAGAGCCAGCAGATCACGCAGCAAACGGAGCTTCAATGCCCCTTCAAGGAAAGCGGTGAGGACATTGTAATCATGTTTCAAGATTTGTTTCAGGAATTAAAAGAGATCAACTCGGCATTGGCGAAGCGAAATTGATCCGCAGATTTCCTGAACCCGGTGTCCAAGGAAGTCGTCGCCGAGGAATGCGGACTTGTGAGCGAGGGATACCTAGTCACGGATTTGAATCCGAATGCCTTGGGATTGAACATTGGAATCGATCCTGATATCATAGAGTCAGAAAATCTCTTCGGCGAGGAGCTCAGCTTTCAGTTTTACGAATTGACGTCGCCGTCGCAGCTGCAATCCGCTTGACACACGGACGGCAATGGCAAAGTACGTTTTATCGTGATCGACGAAGTTCAGATACAGAACGCGCAATCGCCTGACGACCGGACAGTTCGCGACGTCGTCGAAACTGAAGGAAACATCCCGGAGCGGGAAGACTTCCAGAAAATGTCGCCTGGCAACGAAGAATATACGATGACAACGAAAAGCTGATCTCGTTTAAGAAATTTTCATGATGACTATTTACAGGGATATTCGATCATTTTATTCGACGCGGCTGCTAAAATAGTTAAAAGCCAACTTAACTGAACCAGTTAATTGATATCTGACTGCTTATCGGATGGATAACGAAGTCAAGCGTGCAAATACGAGAAAATCATATCTCTCAAAAGCAATGTAATTCAATTTGATAATCATCGAAGAATTTCAGCGTAGCCGAAGTGAGATCCGTAAATAAATAACATATTTACATATTCGTCCAACGTGTGCCTGGTTAAGTGTCTTAAGAAAAAGCGTCATTTATCAACTATGCATTAGAATAATTTCTTCTAGTCTTTTGCGAAGTGTGTAATGTTTTTGTATTAGTAAAAAAATATGATATTTACGTATGTGTACATTGTCCCTGAAATTTGTATCATATATTCTTGTCGAAAGCGCGAGATGTCCGTTGGAAAATTTTTACTGCGAAGATATACTTCTGTAAACAGAGATATAGCATTGGATATCTTCTGTTCACAGCCAGTTTCATTTCACGGTATCTCATGTTGAGAACGCTTAAATAAAATGCAAAGAAAAGTGTTACATGTTTAATCATATTGGCTGTATGTAAATTCAGAGTCAGAGTAATCGCATCTGAAAAAGAGAGCTAATGAATTTTATAAAATTATTCGAACATTTTTTACATTACAATGAGAACATTTTTTATATTATATTTGACAAATGAAAACGCCGTTAATTTACAGATTTCGTCGAGTCAGTCACTTGCTCCTGACTCGCCTCCTTGGCCTTCTCTTGTGCTATACTCTGTAGCTTTTCCATCTTTTCTTTCTTCTTAGCCTCCTTCTTCTTCTTTTTCTCTTCTTTCTCTTTCTGCGCCAACATCGTCTTGAATTTTTCATCATGAACCGATATCTTGAAGCCAAAATGTTTCCTAACTTCTTCTATTAGACGTTCCTTGCGCAGCCTGGCAGCTTCCATCTGAGCTTCCTTCTTAGCTATCTTTGCGTTTAATTCAGCTGTCCATTGATTCATCATTGCCACTTTTTCAGTTAATTCAGCTTCCCTACAAAATGTATCATATATTAATATAATGTATTTGAAATTACGTTTAATTATCAGTAAATGATATAAAAACATGCCTTGTTTTAACCGCTTCAGCTTTCGCACGATTCACCTCTTTCAGCATATGCCATCTCTCCTGAAGAGACAATGGAAAGGCGACTCTCTCATACTCTTGAGCATCTTCAACTTCTTTTGATAAGGGCCATGCGAATCCAGCCGGCTCGTCAATAGCCTTTAATCCATACCTACCCAGCATACGTTTCTTATACTTCACTGTATGATGGAACCAATCAACAGGTGCATCGTAAGGACGCACATCCATGAGTACGTTCCTATGTTGCGGATTTAGCCGGGACTTATTCCGCTTCTTCTCGATCTCCTTTTGGAGCAGTGGATCCTCCGAGTATAACGGCTTCTCGTCGGCAGCGGTTATATCAACAACTTCATCTTTCGATTCCTTTGCTTCCGTCGATTCTGAAGTGAAAAAACGCCCGGCGACGACACCACGGGCGCGCAGTTTTCGTCGCATGATGACATCGTAGATTCGTCTAACACTCATCGGGACGTCGCCAATTCGGCCGCTGCGGATCGTGTATTTAGGTTAGGTTTAGGATTAAACCGACTAAAGATATGATGACAGAAAATAAAGATCGATTTAAAAATTATTTTATAAATACACATGAGAAATGAGCTATACGTACGTGTGAGAAGCGTATTTTTCAGGAAAATTCTAATTATGCCCACAAGAACATAATCTATTTGTTGTTATCGCGAAACCTGACGGACGTGCGAGAACGAGATATCGAGATAGCGTCTCGATTTTACCAAATTGGTTTAGGTTAGAACACTGTCAGAGAAGCGAGATTCGAACGGCGCACGTGTACGGCACGGATCACGATGGAGAAACGTCTTTCGAGGGTAATAATAATTGATATTAAATAAGTTATATTATAGAGATCTCAACGATTTCAACGAATTGTTGTTCGCAGCTGCCAGGGAATTACGGGGAAACGCACGGGACTTTTGTCTTTGAGGACGAGGGACATACCCTGGGAAACGCACTTGCTTCTGTGATAAACGACAAGTATGTATTGTTTAAAATTTTCTAGTAATGAACATAGTTATTTGTTCTTGCGGATAATGCATTTTCTAATGTGAGATTTAATCTTGCAGTCCTGGCGTGAAGATATGCGCTTACACCACGCCGCATCCGGCGGAGAAAAGAATGCACTTATACATTCAGACAACTGGTGAGAACGTGCTCGTAGTATTGAAACGGGGCCTCCAGGATCTTGAGAAGATTTGCGATTACACGCTTGAAACGTTCGATAACGCCTATGAAAAGTACAAAGCTTCAGAAGTACTCAAAAGTACTTCACAAAATGTCTCCACAGATGCTACGTAATATTATGCCATTTGTCTTTAGATTTATAAATATATAAGTTAAACATATGTGAATTTATATATGATGTAAATACTATGTTAATTGATATATAATCTAAGTCTTCTAATCAAGAATTAATATTGCATAGAATCTAGGCTTTGAAACAAAATAAAAAGCTTGAATGACTTTGACAAAAAAAAGTTTATACATAATATATTAAGATAGTACGTCAATTCCTAAAAGTTAAAGGACAGGAGAGAAAAAAATAGGATTCATTTTACAATTTGTCAAAGAACTCCTTTAATGGAAATTGGACGTTTATTTAAACAACTTCAGCTGCTTTCGCTCCTCCTTTATGAGTCTTTGACAGATAGTCAGCAAATTCCTGATATGGTGCTTTAGCCAGAGCCTGCTCCTTCCACAAATCTGGTGTCAGATAAGCATAAGTCTTGGCGATCGCGGCATAAGTGGCTTTGGCGAAATTGCCAAGTGTACAGGTTGACCCTCTAGCTGAAGTGTAACAGTCCTCGATACCAGCCATCTGAAGCAGTTTCTTGGGAACTGGGGCAGATACGATGCCGGTACCTCTGGGTGCAGGTATCAGGCGCACTTGCACGGAACCGCATTTGCCAGTCACTTTGCATGGCACTGTGTGCGGTTTACCGATTTTATTACCCCAATAACCACGTCGTACTGGCACGACAGAAAGTTTGGCCAAAATGATAGCGCCACGAATCGCAGTAGCTACTTCCTTGGAGCATTTTACTCCGAGTCCAATATGCCCATTGCTATCTCCAATAGCAACGAAAGCCTATAATGATATCGCAATAATCATTAATTTTATTTATTAAAAGGGGAAAGATGTTCTCTGACTTCTAAGTTTTGAGCTCATTAAAAAATAATAATAAATATGATTGGCAACAAAAGTAATTGTTCTTGGATTTTTAACTTTAAAAATAAAAACATATATTAATATCCTGTTTCAAATATCATCAATATTCTATTTATTTTAAAAGAAAAAAGAAAGAAAGATACCTTAAAACGCGTACGTTGACCGGCTCGTGTCTGCTTTTGTACCGGCATGATCTTCAAAACCTCGTCCTTTAGATCCGGTCCGAGGAATTTGTCAATGATTTCAAACTCCTTGATAGGCAAGGAAAACAGATAAATGTGCTCGAGAGATTGAATTTTGCCATCTCTGACCAAACGACCAAGTTTTGTAACCGGCACCCATTCTTTGCTGTCTTCTTTACCACGTCCGCGGCCGCGTCCTCTGCCTCGACCTCCACGACCTCGACCTCTTAGGCCTCCACGATCACCTCCACCTCCACGTGAACCGAAACCTCCACGAAAACCACCACGTGCGGCTGGAGCGGCGTCCGCCATTCTTTAAATAAAATTCAAACAACTCAAAAATTTAATTCTTAGTCTGAAATTTCATTCCATGTGGAAAGATGCCAATTATTACGCGTGTATCTTTGATCTTTGATAATGAAGCACTGAAATATGCGAGGTCTGCAACTTTGAAATACACGAAATATGCGATGCCAACATGTAATATTTGAGAAAATATTTGGAAATATCCCGAAACTATTCATACAAAAAAATTCATCTTTTCTATATATTGATCGAAAAGAGAGCATATAATAATTATTGAAATTGGAATATCTCCATTGTACTCACGTTCCTTCTTTTCCCTTGCTCTAAAGACCACAAAGGAACTGGAAAAAAATGAGATGGAGGAAAGTTTATGCTTCTTCGAGATGGCGCTTATTGCACGTGGCTCATATCCGGTATTTCGAAAATTGGCGCTTTCTTATTCTCCCCTCAGGAATTAGAAAATAATATTTAGTGGAAATGATAGAAATATTTTGTATAAAAAAATGTGTAGGTAAATATTTTAAATAAAAATATAATTTTACCAAAGTATTGGTAACATTTTTAAAAACTCATTTAATTATTCATATACATACAAAATTGACTAACTGACAAGCGCAGCTTGTTCATTGCATATTTTATAAATTTGTTATAAGAGATTTTATTTAAAATATCCTCTTATTTAAAACATTGCAATATAAAAATAAAGAAAGTTTTTATTTAACTTTCCTACCATTTATATATACCGATACTATATTACGTTCATCGCCGGCATATATAAATCTCTGGAATTTTTCCTCAAGTGTATATTCCCTAAAATTATCCAGCAAGCTACCTTTTGCATTTAAATCTATGATGAGGGCATCAAATTCTTTGCCTGGCATCAAGTTACCGACTTTATCCTCGATTGAAAATGCTGAAGAATCAATTAATTATAAAAGTTATAAAAAATGTATTGTAATAGATACATAAAGAATTTCTAATATATAACAGCAAATTTTACCTTTGGCACCTCCTAACGTTGCCATGTGGAAGACATCCTTGTAACTAAGTGGTATATAATTCTCTTTCGTCACAAATAAACAATTTGATACTTGTAAAACCGATCTCATCTCGTTCAACATACTGTAACTAACTCCACCTGAAACGTCTGAAAAGAGTCTTTAGTATAATGAATCATATGTCATGTTATATATGATCATATATCATATATAATAACTAAATTAAGTATTATATCTAAATTGTTAATATAAAATTTTTCTATAAGAAAATTCTTGGTACCTGTTCCAAGTCCAACTTTGATGTTATTAGTTTTTAGCCTTTGTACATCACAAAGACCGCTTTTCAAATATATATTTGAGGATGGACAGTGAATTACAGCGGTTCCTCGATTTTTGAGAATGGCAAGTTCGCTGTCTCCGAGATAAATTCCATGCGCTAATACTGTCTATAATATAAAAAGATCAAATATATATACATATATATATATATATACGCGCACACACACACACACACACACACACACCACGCACGCACGACACGCACGCACGCACGCACGACAC